TGCTCAAACGAGCCACCATCTTGTCGGGGCATATTAAGGGATGGAATTCAACATCTAATAAATATGAAAATATAGACCAATTTATAAGGGTTTGAACTAATCATCTTAACAATATTGATCTTTTAAGATGTAACTGCAACTCTTAACATGTTATCAGAGACCACTGAGCTCTAACGAGCAATTCTATCCGATTAAGATTCAAAAAAATTAGCGCATAAGACTTCAAAATTAGTTTGCTCAAACGAGCCACCATCTTGTCGGGACATGTTAAGGAATAAAATTCAACATCTAATAAAAATGAAAACATAGACCAATTTATAAGAATTTTGATTACTTCTCTTAATAAGGTTAACCTTCTAAGATGGGATCTCGAATCTTTACAAAAACTACTTGATCAGTCTCGATTTGGTCGCTGCAAGCTTAGATTTGACATGATTCGCTTTTGAGGTCCGACCTAATTTGATGTCACTAAGATGTGTTTGTGCTCTCAGTTATATTACTTCTATTAATTAACAGATAGTTTCTTTAAATCATGAATCAATCACATTAATTCATTGCATTGAGTTATTAGAATAAAGTGGGTTTGTTTTAAATCATTGGGATCTCAAGCTTTAAGTAATTCCTCATAATCTACAAATTTGTGCTTCTCTATGAGAAGGTGGGGCTAATGATTAATGGCTATACCCAATTATTAATCTATTAGAACTCTTATCAAGATTTAATTATGCTAATGATCTTACTCACTTCAATTTTTTATAATTACATTAATGATGACTTGATAAAAATAATAATAATAATAATGATGTTAAATCATATGTGACGTCATTAAATGTCACCATATCACCAAACCGGCGTTATTTATTAAGCCTGATTTGATCGAAATTAAAGTCACATTATATTTTCTCTTTGGAACGTGTTTAATTCTCAAGTACGAATTCTCGAATTTTGTTGGCTTGGCATAATGACAATGCCACTTGGTAACACAATGTGACTCAATGACGTCACATAGGACTTAACATTATTATTTTAAACTAGAGTGATCATTAATGTAACATTTGGAAACTTCGGTGAATATTATCGTAAGAAAATTTTAATTACCATTGATATAATCACTCAAAATCAGTGACCA